GACTAAGCTGCTGTATTCTATCTGCATAGTTGTTCATATTTACTAAACTCCTTTTCCTAGTATTACTATATTCTATCAGTAATGATCATTACTATACTGTTTTATGCTAAATATTATGTTTAATCTATTAGTCTTTGGTTCTGAGGCCTAGTAAAACTTGCAAGGATTACTTGAAGCATGCTGAAGACTTTTTATCTTTGGTTATTGATAGTAGTGTCTCTGCTTTAATGTTTCAACACTTTCAAAATACTATTGGGGACTTTCAAGTCAGTTCTGTTCTGACACAGCCATCAATTTTCAAAGAGGCAGGCAGAGAATGAAAGAGGAAACATATTTGCCCTTGCAAAATGTTAAAATCCTGCACATCTACGTTAGTGCACTGGGCTTCTTTCTCACAGGGTTTCCTCCCAGGGCCACTTGCGTATTAGCAAAATCCTGCCTCTGCATAGCATCTGGTTCTTGGTCTCCTGCTGCAAACACAACACTTGGGGTGGGGGGCAGAGAGGCCATAGCTGTAAGCCTCTCCCACTGTTCACCAATACTCTGATGCAGACTAAAAAGGTTGGATCCCAACCCAACAGAGCAGCCAGCAGGACACAATAGTAGCAGGCACCTGGGGTAGTTTCTGCTAGCTCACGTTGGGCAAGCCTCTCTTTAGTCCTGACAGTGCTGCTCAGCATCTGAACCTTGGTTCATGGATATGATCACATGGCTCTTTCTTTTTTTTTTTTTTTGCTAGAAGCTTTTATCTAAGTTTGTACTGTTTTTCCCTTTTGATAGCCCAAGAGAAATGGAGCACTCCCTCCCAGAGCAGTTGGAACAGATGGCTTCACTAGTGCTCCCTCTTTGGATCCAGGCACCTGTGTCTTCTCAGAAACTGGACAGGCAGACAAGCATATCCAAAAAAAAAAGTAAAAAAAAATAAAATAAAAAAAAATGCTGCAACTACTAGGGAACAGGAACAAACAACATCACTGTGAGGCTCTTGCTAGCACACTGGTAACGCATCATCTCTGCAGAGGCATTACACCAAACACTGTACCAACCGTTATATAGGTATTCTTTCATCTCTCTGAACAAATAACCTATTGCTTCCACGTGTACGCAATGACACGTCACGTACTGGTTTTGCTTTCAAAGCAAACATGGTAAATCAAGCAAGGGGTTTACAAGACATTTTTTTAAGAAGTGTTGCAATTGTGTCATTCTCTCAAATGCAAACTATGTTTTAGGCTTATCCCTTTAGTTGTCTTGCAACAGGAAATTTCCACAACTGCTTGTTCACGTGTGTTTTTATGTGGACACATGGGCACATACACACGTGCTGATAGATACCTTACATCACTGCAAAAACCAGTGCCGTTTTACCCAGAGGTCTGTTTTCCTCACAAAACTGATACGTGTGTAAAGAGCTGCCTCGACAAATGCAACTGTTATTGGTAAAATTTAGTAGCATAGAACGGGCTGGGACATTCTCATATTAAAATTATGAATTTATTTAAATCAACAAACAGGTGTTTGTTAGAGGTGTTTTTCCCAAACAGACTAAAAACTGTGGTAGGCACTTGGGATTTCTTGCCTGCTGAAAGAATACAAGTTTATATGACAAGTCATTTGTACACTATCTTCATTCCTCAAAAAGACAATATGCTGCTGAAAAAAAATAGTTGAAATGGCAGGTGGTCCAATTGTTCCAAATGAAAAGTTCACCATGACTTAGCAGCAGAAGAGAAACCTGAATGAGTAGCCTCTGCTTCTGTTAATCTTTGCTCTAACCACAAGTGCAGAACATCTCAGCTACATACTTTGTTTTACGTAATTAAGGATGTATCACTAGACAAATTTATCTTGTGACTTTTAATAATTTATTTTTTGAGTGCATCTCACCTATTTCATATACACATTTAGGTTATTCTAATAGAACCTTATTATTAGAGTCATCAAGACCTCATTTGGGACAATGAAATGGCTGGTACAAAAGCCTTGGTCAACCTCCACAAGTTATAGCAAGGAGTACCAACAGAAAAAATGTATTCAAGCAAGACACTGCAAACCATGTTTTATTAGCAGGGGATTTTGGGGAAAGATGTAGACAGTCTGAATAGAAGTGTCTCTGTTAAAAATTGCAACAGACATCATACCCAGTAGCAGTCTCACATGTTTTGTCCTTCTGGAATGGGCAGAACAAAATTAATTTTCAAACTACATATTTTCAAGGAAAAATTTCAATATCAGATATTTCCTAACAGAAAAATTCTGTCAAAGCTGCTGAAAGGGGAAAGGAGCATGAGTGAAGTATGACAAATAAATGGGATATTGTTTAAACAAAAAGGCAGTTCTAGGATTTCACCAAATTGATCGTATGCTTTTCACCAATGTACCTTGGTCTTGAATGCAAGAATAACAGAATCATTTAGGTTGGAAAAGACCTTTAAGATCATGAGTCTAACTGTTAACCTGACACTGCCAAGCCCACCACTAAACCATGTCCCTAAGCACCACATCTACATGTCTTTTACATACCTCCAGGGATGGTGACTCAACCACTTTCCTGGGCAGCCTGTTCCATGGCTTGATAACCCTTTCAGTGAAGAAATTTTTCCTAATATCCAACCTAAACCTCCCCTAGTGCAAATTAAGGCCATCTCCTCTTGTCCTATTGCTTGTTACCTGGGAAAAAGAGACTGACTGCCACCTCACTACAGCCTCCTTTCAGGTAGTTGTTGAGAGTTATAAGGTCTCCCCTCAGTCACCTTTTCTCCAGACTAAACAACCCCAGTTCCCTCAGCTGCTCCTCTTAAGAGCTGTTCTCTAATGAACTGCCTCAAATAAATTCTGTACTTTACTTAAAGGAAGGTTCCAGCAGTATAATGAGAATATAAAATACAAGCACACAAAGAACAAAACCTCCTTCTGTTTTCTTCTGGTTTTGTTTGGGGGGGTTTTTGGTTTTTTTTCCCTTGATGGTTTGGTTTGGTTTTTTTTTTAATAATCCAATTAACTAGAATTTCTAAACACACTGACATTCACATCCCAGAGACCTTTAACAAGAGAAAGAACATGAATAAGCTGGCAGAGCATCACATTTCAGTTCCCCATCCGGCTACAGGTAAACCATAAATTAACATTATGTGAGCAAACCAGCTGAACTTTTAGTCAAGATAAATATTTAACAGCACAGCACCAGAGTAAAACTGAGGCATCAGTACAAATTTTCTGTAAACTATAATAAAGGCTGCTTACTACAGAGAGCTACAGCTCTTGAATATAAGAGGACACACTGAACACTGAGCAGTTTCTCTCGCTATTTGCTATTAAAAGAATCCCTGCCTTTTTGTAAAAGGCAAGGAAAAAAAAAGAGGTGGTAGATTAGAAACTGAAGTGTTGCAGACAGATCTTTTTTACTGGTTGATGTCCCATTAGTGGTTTTTTTTTTTAACAAATATCCCTAAAGATTTAAGATATTAATTCACCATAAACTATGCAAGTATTGAAACACCTCGAGTAGATAGCGCTCTTCAAATCCTGTAGATTTTTGAATCCTCAATTTCTAAAATTCTCTTCAGAATATGCTTTAAGTGATCCTATTGAACTTTTATTGTCCACTAGCTCCATTTTAGCATTGAGGAATAAGCAATCCTCCTCACCATGCTCTCTCCAGGGAGCTTCATGACTAAGTGTTCATCAAAATATCAAATGTCAAATTATAGTGTGATAACAAAAACAACAGGGGAAGCCTTGAAATTACTGTAAAACCCTAAGGAAAGATGTGAACACTAAAGAAATTAAGGTAAAGTTCATCAGATACACTGCTGTAGTAATCAAAGTAATGTAACTCAACAGCAAAACCAGAATTTTGCGCTTTAGACAAAGCTTACTGCAATACCATATTGGGAAACTCAGCATCTGGCAAAATTATATTACCAATTTGTTTTGAAGAACATAACCCAACATATACAGTGTACACAGATCAGAAGACACTTGACAAAAGTTTGACTTCCATTTGTTCCCAAAGTATATTAGCAGTAGAGTTTTGGGGGTCTGTGGGAAGTTTTTTTGCGGGGGTTTTTTGTGTGTGCTTTTTAATTACTATTTGGTTGTTGGGGTTTGGGTTTGTTCATTTTTTTAAAGTTTCCTGTAGGATTTATTTGATTTTTTTTTCAGCAATTCTAAAAAAATTAATGAATATCACAAGCATACGAAGGACACAGATGTGCCTGAAACTCGAAAGTCAGTATGCTTGTGATCCCATCACATTTTTGAAACCCTCCTAGAGTGCTTCAGAAGAAAAATGTAGGGGTATGAGAACTGACATTAATAAAACAAGCAGCTCTAAAAGATTCCAGATTTTTAGAATATGAAATCATCTAGACTGTTACCAACAGGAAAAGGAAGACAATTGATTTTTCTTTTTTTTTTTAAATAGCAGAGTAAGTAATTTTCTAAAAATCTTAAGGTTTTTTTAAATAAAGCAAGTTAGAAAACATTACACAATTGTTAACAGTGCTAGACTAGCCTAAGTATCCCAAACACAGAATGTCTTCCAAAAACAGCGTTGCATGAGAAAATACATATTGAATATTTAGATAATTATCAAATTTGGGAGGTAGATGACAATCTTAATCTATTTGGGAAAGGCAGCACTACAGCTGTTTATGTAAATGGCATTAAATATTATCTATATAGTGTCCATACCTGTTTAAGAGCACAAAGAGGAGGAAGAACATTGTCTGTCACCTAATAGCAACTATATTCATCTAACATCCTTGGTCTGCATCATCAGTTCTCCTGAAAATGCACGTGAGGGGAAGAAAGGATTAGGAAGGCAAGGAGGTGGGAGGGGGGAATCAACCCCATTTGTGTGTGCAGGCAAATAACAGGCAGAACACACCATCCAGAGTGCAGAGAGGGTGACTGGGCTCACAGCACAATCTTCAGGACAGCGTGGCTAGATGGAGCGGAAACAGCAGAAGCCTGCATAGGGAGAAAAGGAAGCACCAGATGTCCTGTACAGTACTTCCCATGATGTGAATTCAGATGCATTGCCTAGTGTATTTATGATGGTGCTCCACTGCTGGAAAAGCCTTTCTGTTCCTATTCACCATGTTCATCAGCTTCTGATTTTTCATTAAGAGGAAAAGCAGTAACTAATAGCAGCACTGATGCAAAGGCTCTGTCACAGTGATGAGCACTGTATGTTGTTAACCTGACAACATCCGTACAGTGTTAGCTGTTACAAAAAGCATCCATTTCAAAAACAGCATTAAAAGCACAGTTCAGTACACAAATGGGATCACGATTTTTCTGCACTTTAGGTAGTCTTCAAATTTTTCAAGGTACCATCTGAAAAACAAAAATGGAAATCTAATGAGGACCGAGTTTTCAAAATGCTGTCGAGGAAATCTCAGAATGGTAGGGGTTGGAAGGGACCTCTGGAGATCATCTAGTCCAACCCCCTGCCAAATCAGGCTCACCAACAGCAAGTTGCACAGGACTGCATCCAGGCAGGTTTTGAGTATCTCCAGAAATGGAGACTCCACAACCTCTCTGGGCAGCCTGTTCCAGTGCCCTGTCACCCTCACGGTAAAGAAGTTTTTCCTCATGTTTAAGTGTCCAAGCTTTTGCCCATTGCCCCATGTCCTATTGCTGGCCACCACCGAACAGAGTCTGGCCCCATCCTCTTGACGCCCGCCCTTTAGATATTTGTAAACATTAATTAAGTAATTGTACAATGTGTTCAATTTCATCCACACATTTTCTAGCTACAAACCAGAAAAATGTCTTTAGCACATACTCTGGATAGAAAAATGCCATTTACCACACTCAACCTAAAAACATCTAGTCAACAACTACAACGAAACAGTTACTGCTGCCAGCAATGGGAAATTAATCCAACAGATGTGGTGAGAGCAGCTGGGGAAGGAACAGCCTTTTGTTGCAAAATATATGTTGTTATGCATCCTGAGTATTTACATTTTATAACTAGAGGGGGGAAAAAAGATATCAAGAACATTCAAGGGGATAACACGTCAAATTGTATAATGACTTCATGTGTAAGCAAGGGATACTTCACATACTGGAATGACAGTCCTGTTCTGGGTAGAAACATCTTCAGTTCCAGTCAGGATTTGAAGAATCAAACTGAATGTGACAAACAGTACACTAACCTTACTGCTGATCCCCCTCAAGGACCATCACTATTTCCAAATCCAGACAATTTTAAATAATAAATTCATAGTGCTACTAAACATTATTTGTCTGGTGACTTTATATAATAACCAAATTTGCTCCGATTTTCAAATATTTATTCTTCTACTTCTCTAAAATAAAATTTAAAAAAAGAATTAACTTCATCTGGGCTCTTTGAAGGTGCAGGTATTCATATTACCAATAGCTAATTCCAAGATCAAAGCTGGAATAAGCAGAGGACAAACATGTAATGCATTATATTTATATTATATTCCTGCAGCTGTGGAATACCAGCATTACACTATTTTATCCTTTTCATTCATTTATTCAAATTTTTTCAAACTAAACAGACTACACCAAAATATTTCTTCACTTACACAGATTTACTATTTTTAGTTGGGGTTTTTTTCCTGTACCTCTCTTGCATTTTTATGCATTTTTCCTTTAGTGAAAATTACTTCCTTTAACAACATTTAGCTTTTCATAATGTTCTGTAAGTCAAGAGCTCTGAAAGAGTGCTGTCAAGGCTTAAGATAGATGGAAACCAACCATGAAACTTGAGCCTGAAGAACATGATATAGAAGGAGAGGCTGAGGAACCTGACATTGCTTAGTTTGGAAAGGAAAAGACTAAGGGGCTCCATGTTATTGCTGCCTACAGGCACTGGCAGGGAAGTTAAGACAATGGAGCAAAACTCTGAATGAAATGCAAACGCTTGCAGCTGGAACGCAGTGGCCTCATGCAAAAGTGCAGGCCAGAGACTGACTGGCTAGATAGCAGCTCTGCACAAAAGGATATGGACATCCTGGTGGACAAGTTGAACACAGATCCCTGCAATGATGAAGGTTAACTGCATACTGGCGAGCTTTAACAAGTACAGAGCCACCAAGTCAAGGGAAGTGCTTATTCTCCACTATTCAGCAGCTGAGAGCCTGTGTCTGCATTACCGCCTCCAGTTTTCTGCTTCCTGTGCAACAGAGATGTTCACAAACTGGAGAAGTACCCAGCAGATGGTCATTAAGACAACTGCATAGCTGGAATATATAAGAGGAGATGCTGAGGGAACTGGGTTTGTTCAGAGAGCTATACCTTTCCCGGAGGTGCACAGCAAGTGGACAAGTGGCAGGGGATAAAAGTTGCAACATGGAAAATTCAAACTGGATCCAAGGAAAACACTCTCTTCCTCGTGAAGGAATAAAATAAGATGAAAATGTTCAAATTCTTTTAAACATGCTATTCCTTAAAGAGAATCATTTCAAGAAACAAGTCTTCTCAAACTATGATACTTCTGTTAGCAGGAAAGCCATGTTATGAATAAGTACATTAGCAGTCAGACTGTTTAATTACAGAGCAGACTTTATTAAATATAATCTACCAGAACTGTTTTCATATTGTCTATACACTTGATTATAGACAATATAGACTTGACTATAAAATGTGCCTGTTACAGAAGACTTTACAGTGATTTTCAGAATTTTAATATTATAGAAACAAGTTTGAGCTACAAGGGAAAGTATAGTATATGATCAATTAAGACAATTTTCCCAAACTTGTCTGTAATCTTTACAGATCTAGGATGAACTACGTTCATTTAAACATTATTTTGACCACCTCATTGTACACTGCATGTGTTTATGTTCAATACTATCCCACTGACATTCTGCAGTGCTTAATACTACTCCAAGTATTGTCTATCATACTCTCCGCTGCAGTAGCAGGGTCTTTCACAAGACTTGCTCTGCAAAATCCCTATGGGATGAGGCATAATTTGTGAAATGGAAATGAAGTGTGGCATAGAGGCATCAAAAATTACAAGACACAAACACTTACTGGTGGTGTTGTTTCGCCCTTGAACCCAAGATGAAAAGCGTACACAATGCAAACGCAAGGCTTTCAATGGTGCAGCAGGCAAGGGCAAACCCAAACCATTCCAGGATCTCTCCAAAAAAGTTGGCCCCACTGACATACTCAAACATTCCTCCTGAAAGCAGGACAGAGTTATTTTAAAAGTACCTTAATCAAAGAGATGTCCAATGCTGTATTTTACTGTAAGTCAAATAAGAGCTACATCACCAGTGTCTCTATATACTTTTTAAAGGCAGTGGAGGGAGTGTTTTTCAGTTCAAGCTGTAACTACAGAAGATCACTTCAGACCTCATTCTAAGACAGACCTTCTCCAGATTAACTTTCCCTCTTTAAATCATGAAAGAAAAGCAGATTTATCAGTATCAGAAGCAAGTTCATGCCTCTGTAAATAATTACTTAACAATGATATCAAACTGGCTCGTTGATCATAAACCAAACCTTCTTTAAAATATGTAAAAATAGAAAATATGCTCCCCTTTAAGAGTCTCAGAAAATACTCAGAGTTAGCATACAATGTTTAACTTCTTTAAGCACTTCAGAAATTAAGTTAATAATGAACGATATTATTATTATGAAGTTCCAAATTTATCCTCTAGCTTAAAAATGTGTTGCCCTTTTGTTCCCATCTCCCATCAGGTCTACTGCTTCAGCCTTGACACTGAGTGAAAGAAGTAATTGGCAGTCTGCGTTAAATGTGTTTTACAGTCAATTATGCACAAACAATCAGTGCTCACCTGCTGGGAATTTTATAAAATAAGAACTTTCACTCTACTTCCAAAGTTAATGTACAAATTGATAACATCTCAGTATGTACTTTACCAGTGAGACTAAACAAACATTTGCCAAATGTAATAAAGGACATGTTTTGACCTTGCTTTAATTACTTTGCTTTTGTGACAAAAGAGCAGCAGAATTCTAGCACTTAAATTGGATAAGCAGCAAACAACATCTTATTTCCTTCAAAACATTTTTGTACACTGAACATAGCACAGTACATTCATATTCATTTTTCACATGGGCTGGATAAGCAATATCAAAAAGACCAACTTCTCCTGATTGTGCAGCAAACAACATCTTATTTCCTTCAGAACATTTTTGTACACTGAACATAACACAGTACATTCATATTCATTTTTCACATGGGCACTTGAATTTACATCTATTAAAATTATAAAGTTACCTTCTTGGTGAAAAATAACAGTGTACTGCCTTATATGTATATATAGTTCTTCCAGTTTTATTATAAAATCACACTAAAACCTCAGAGAAAAAACTAAAGGAAAAATTTAGAGGCAACAGCAGTATTCAGAGGTAACTTATTTTTCTGCTCTCACTGAGTGTAATATACCCAGAAGAATTTGATGTTTCCACAAGTGTCAATAAACCTTAACACTTCAATAGGCTCCACAAGGAGTGCTTTCATATTCCCCATTTTCCCATGAAGACCAGAATTTATAATGCCTAACTTCCTTTGTTTTTCTGTCCTCTTTTCCCTGTATCTCCCTTGCTGCAACAGTTGTTGCTCTTTGATTACCTATGATCCCTGCCTCTTCATACGTGGGACAACCTAAGATGGGCCAGCCACACACAGTTGCCGAGGCCTCTCTGCCTTCCCCTCCTGCCCCCACACTGTGATAATTTAGGTCTTCTTCCACCCACCAGAGTTTCTCACACTCTGAAATCACTTCTTGAGGTAGACAACAAACTGCTATTTCCAGTTTCCTCTTATATCATAAATTACTATCTCCCCTAAAACACACTAAGCTTTAGAAGGTCATCTTTACATAGATTCATTTCAGGTTGGAAGGGACATCTTGAGATGATTTAGTCCAACCGCCCTCTGGCTCAAGTAGAGCCAGCTAGAGCAGGTTGCCCAGTCCAGTTTTGAGTATCTCTACAGATGGAGACTCCACAAACTCTCCGATCAACCTGTTTCAGTGTTTGACCACCCTCACTGCAAGGAACACGTTCAGCTGTAATTTCATGTGTTTGAATTTTGTGCCCAGTGCTTCTGGTTCTGTCACTGGGCACCAATAAGAGCCTGGCTCCCTCTTCATTCCCTCCCATCATATATTTATACACATCCATAAGATCCCCCTGAGCCTTCTCTTCTTGAGGCTGAATAGTCCTAGCTTTCTCCATCTCTCCTCATATGAAAGATGCTTCTTTTGCTATACAAATTTCTGTAACATTTTTACTCACCTCTCGGTATCTTGTAACCGGTTTCTCCTGGTTTTCTCAGATTTCTGAGAATATGATCAGAATGAATATTGATTGTCATGCCAATCAACCACCCTGTAAAACCTGAAGAGGAATATTTAAAACACTATCTTTAATACACTGAGCCAAAGTGCTTGTTCAGAAAAAAACCCCAAAACCAACCCACAGTCATATATGACATATTAAGCATATTATCTCAAAGCAGAATAAACAATTCTGGTGATATCGTGCACAATCCCAGTCCCACACTGAGCTCTTCAGTCAGCAGAGCTCACAGTAATCAACAAGTCTTTAGACAGGAATAGTACTGTAAGTATATTCTTACATCGCTGGACTTAGATAAATGTATGCATGTGCATATACACAGATGTAATGTGTATATTTCCATATATTTCCCTAGCTTCCTGGAAGAAAAACAAATATACTAACATTTTAAACACTGAAAGAAACAACCCTTCTCATTCCTGGCAGAGGGAGACATCTTAGTCCCTCTCTTGGTTGTTTGTTTGGGGTTTTTTTGTTTGGTTGGTTTTTTACTGGCAATATACCAGAGTTTCCACAGTAGACTTCAGTGCAATAAAAAGAATAACAAAATTGTGAAGGAATTAATACACCATTTACTTGTGTCATTCAGCAAAATGGTTTAACCATTTACACCAGGCTTTCATAGAAACTGAGATTATTGTCACATTCTGCATCCTTATGTCTTGTTGCCATGATTGGATGGGATCAATCAAAAGGAATTTAGGATTTAAATTCAGTATTTTCACCCTTCCATTCTGAGTCTTTAGCTATGTGTTACCTATGTTATCTTGCTTTGAAGGCAGCATTCCTTGCTACTAGCAGCAGACAAGATTTGGGTTTTGAGAGTAGATCCATTGTGTTGTTTTGAATCCACCTCCTAAGTTATTGATTTTTATTTAAATTATGAAGAAAATGTCAGCAATGTGCCTCTAGAATAAAAGTCACTTCACACACCATCTAAAGAAAGCTTTGCCTTTTTGCACCCATAACGCGAGTCTTTCAGGCGGTTCACTTTTAACACAGAGAAATCCAGCAGTATGGCTATCTCAGCAAAGACACTAAATGCATATCCAGATGTATAAGGCCACATGTTGCAAGGCTGCCAGAGCATACTTTACCAAGACTTAAGCTACATTTCAAACTGAAGCTACAGATGTAAGTGGACCTTGCCTCTCAAACAAGTTGTTAGATTGGCAGCTGTCTTCTCTCAATCCTTTGTGGGCTGTGTTTAGTACCTTAAGGACCTAGCTGTCTGCTTCCACATGGATTAGCAGGAAATGATTGGTCTGCAGAGAAACTGAGGTTTCTGCATGAAAGCTCTCTCTCTATTTACACATATAAATAAAAAATGTTGTTTGATTAGCTTGTTACAATCTGCCTACATTACAAAACTAGTAGCAGAATTTAGTCCTGTGAACAAGCAGTTTTCTTAACCTTTTGTTCATACAGCACAGTGCAGCAAGTTTCCATTAGCAATCAAGGTGTGTAGATGCTACGGGTAAAGCGTCTTTGGTAGTAAAATTTTACCATAATCCTTCCAGCTATAAATTAAATGTAATTACATCATCATGAGATAGATTAGATCAATGTAATGAGGAATTTACAGATCGACTGATATAATGACAACATTCAAAAACACAGGGTGAATAATTCAAATGCTGTTGAATTCTACTTTTAGGAAAACAGATAATTTTAACTTTTTTCCTTCAAAACAGAACTCTATCCAAAAAGAGAATATTGAATCCCCATTGCATCCAGCAATAAAAATAGTTTGCTTCTCTTAGCGTTAGTAATTATGTATCAATTTGCTAATTGCCAGGGAAGATTGAGACTACCTTGGAAAATAAGGGATGTTATTCATACAACTAAATAAGCAAGTAATTATCTCTATCCATAGAATAATTTGGAAGGAAATTTATTAACAAGTACACAGATTAATTCTACTTAAATGTAAAGAATATTTCTACTAATTTACTTCAGTATTAACATGAGTAAAAATCTATACTGAAAGTTTGTATCAGTTCTAGAAAGAATATTAAATTCTTTCTTGGGAATGGAAACTAGAGACTCTGATTTCTCTGAAATGCCACCATAATTTTGGACAATGTTATCTGTGAATTCTGTATTGGTATCTGTAAATTAGTATATGAACTACTTCATTCCCTTGTACCTCAATTTCTCCATTTTTAGCGCACAGAATTTTTACCCTATGAATTTGTTCACTTCCGTTTGACCACATAGAAACCTTTAGTATCTATGACATCAAGAAACAGGGGATTTCAGTTTAATCTACATGTTATGGGAAAAATCCGGTCCGTTTGTTCTAAACCTGTGTGCTGCTGGTTCCATTTAAGACCTCAGCTTCCTATATTGAAAAAAATACACGACCTATATCTACTTTAGTGTTAAAGAATAAAGATGACAGCTCATCTAGCTGTCATTGTGGGAAGAAGTATCAGTTCATAGTTCTAAAATAAAAAAAAAAAAAAAGGTTAAAAGGCTTCCAGCTATAGTAAACCAGAGAATTAACTATGAGAAAAGTTATAAAATGGGATTAAAGATACTATAAAATCATATTTCTGCTTTATTTTAAAATTATACTTCTGCTTTAAAAAAAAAAGCTGTGAAGACAAAGGAAAACTACACCTAATGTTCTCATAACGTGTTTTAACTCACCTGTAATGAAACATGGATCTTTTAACCATCCTGAAGGGTATTTTGCATAGTTGCTTAAGCTTCGGCCTTGCAAGTATCCATTGTAAACACAGAACAGAAGAGCTAGCACAAAAATGAGAAATGGTGTTGGTTTTCCTTCCCGGATCAAAAGAGGAAATACGAGTGCCCTATAGCAGACCAGGAAAGAAAAATTGTTGCATTAACAAACAGGAGAGAACTGTAATCTGTAGTCCATATTATCCTGCTTTTCAAACCCCCAGCAGAGTCTTTGCTCCCAGTTCAGAAGAACAGTTATGCTTGCTTTAACACCTAAATGTTAATTTTGTTGCCTAACTGGAATTACAAAATCGGTCCTCTCTCCCCTTATGACAGAAATGTTGAACTTTGTATCCAAGGCAATTACTTTGACAAGAGCAGTAAAGGCAACCGATGTTAAACACAGCATTATTTTTGTCCTCCTTTGTTCCTAAACCCTCAGTGGTATCACCAAGCTTTCTGAAATGAGCCAGGTCCCACAATCCCTAAACCAAATCCACCAGCACTTCCAGGGGGAGAAAGTCAATCCCCTTGAAATTAACCTAATTGTGCTCAGTTTCCTTCTTGCCCTAAAAGTCACTTAAAAACATTAATTGCTTTGCCTTGACAATCTTGGTCTACCCTACACACCAGTTAAAGAGGAGACAAATTGATAAGTGCCATTCCATTGGGAAAGGAAACTCCATTGCTTTTCCTGGGGGAGTACATTAGTAAACAATCTCCAAACAAGGAAAGCATGTTTTTGTGCTCTGGCTAGCGTACCTAGCCAACTCCCAACTGGCTATTGATTTAATTACAATTTATAATGATATAGGAGCAGGATTATTGAAGCCTGAGCATTCTTCATGTGTTTTCCAGCTACCCAAGGACTACTGCTTCAAAGGAGCCTTTCCAGAGGAAGCAGAACTGTTAACGGCTTTCAAGAAAGCACAACAAATTCGTTAATATTATTTAAAGTCCACTACATTATAACAAAGGAACTGGATAACAGAGGTCTCTTCCAGTCTACATGCACCTAGACAACAGCCCTCCAGTCAGGCAATAGCAATAAGCAACTGGAGAAACGAAACTGCGGTACAGCTCAGCTTTCTGTGCAAACCTTTGCCTTGCGTTTCTAGCTCGCCCCTGCATTGAGGGCAAGTTAAGATCCCATGTCAAAGCTCATTTCTTTACTCTTAAGAACAGAAAAAGAGGGAGTAAAGACACACTTCTGGGTTTGCAAAGCCAGTCAGCCACCAGCCAACTGCACGTTGCAGCCCTCTCGACTGGGAGGATGCGGAACTCTTCCAGTCAAAAGCAACAGCCTCTCGCAATAAGCACCGCAAAACAACTGCGTATCAGCCACACGCTCGGCTTAATGTTAGCCTGGCAAATCTATCTCTGCTGAATTATTATAGGGGCAAAATTACTTGTGGATTATTACCAGTGACTATTGTCAGCGACCCGAAGAGAACAGCAAAATCTTATCTGAGCTCCAGCTCCCGAGTAGTTTTACAAAACACCCAGATACCACCGACTACGTGGCAACACGGGGCCCTCAGCCTCAGCTTGGCCAGCACTCTAAGGAATCACTGAATATCCCGAGCTGGAAAGGACCCAGAAGGACCATCAAGTTCAACTCCTGCTGGACACTATGCTGGAAAACGTAATTGGAAAAGCACCCACTGGTTTATAATGTTAAAACTGCACTGTAGCCAGAGCTGAACTTTCCTTGTTGGGATGTTGTGTCACCGCTTTAAGAGGGCCATGACCAGAGCTACAGCTATCGCGCAGGGTGACGGGGGACACCCAGAGCACCACGCGCTCCGTT